CGAGAGTTCATGACAATACCCCGAAGGCAAATAGTTACCAGTAAAAACAATATTCAGGAAAAAGGAAGCCCGCCTTCTCACATGTGTGGTGTGGTTTCTGAAGTGGATCATAATTGGATCATAATATTTAACGGCCAATGTACCTGACTTGTTCGCTGTAGGACTCTAGTTTCAGTGTGGCACAGCCCCACTGCCTGCAATGGTGATATGCGGCTCAGTCCCAGCTGCCGACTGCCGACCTAGAACCTGCCTCATTCACACGAAGTCTCTTACTGTAACATCAGCCTTATTGTGCCTGGTTCTTGTCTGCACCCAGGTCATTCAGCAAAGCTGAGTATACCAGTACTTTGGCCTTGATCCTGAGTTAGGACCTAGCTTTGCTGCCTGTGAAGTAGAGGCTTGAATGTGGCCGCACCAGTTGGCCGTGTCTCATGCGAGACCCTAAAAACACGCATGTTTTGTTGTCTTATACAATGATATACTCTGTTATAATATAAAACTATATATATATAATTACGGTACGATTTGTTGCGGGTTACACAGTTAAGTCAGTAAATGACATGTGACACATTGTGCACTTCATCCAACAACATATTGTTTCACGGTCGATGGGTTCAGCTCAGGCACACAATGAGATCCTCTGTCACCATGTTATCCAGTTCCACCTGACGCGTCCAAACAGAGTCCCTCAATATCCCTCAACTGAATGGCCTTCGGGCCGAAGGGGCAGAAATTGCCTGCCTGCGGTCTTTAAAAGGGCCAGCCAGTGCCTGTGTGTCTTTGACAAGTGAGTGGGTTTCCTGTTCAAGTCTTTTTCATGCGAAGCTGAACTTGTGTGATTCATGTTTCCAGCACCAGGCCCAAATGCCTTTTCACATTCTCTGATCCCACCTCAGAAGCGATTATTCCACGATTTCCAAACTATTTTCTACCATGAATTCTCTATACATCACGTCTATTATGTCTCTACAAACCTGCTGGACCAAGAAACACTTTTATACCCTTTTTCGAAACATCGGGACTGCATGTATTCGAGTCGGTCACCACCGACGTCTCCGGTAAGTCGGGGGCCTCAGACAAGGCCTGAGTACAGGCGGTCCCGGACTCGGCGCTCATCTGCGAGATGCGATCAACTACAGAGCTCGAGGTCCTCAAAAGCAGTCTCGGCATGGGCGGTCTCGGATGGTCTCGGCACGAGCGAAGAGGTGGAGGGACTTGGCTTTTCGAGTTGAAACTCATGTTGCGAGTCAAGTGCCGTGGCGAGAGCTTCTGTTGCGCATTGCGAAACGACGGGGTGGTTGGAGCACCGTCCTCAAAAGCTTTACTTCTTGTGAACGTTGCTTCCCGGGGGGGCGCTGGACTTAGGGAAGGTAACCAAAACCTGGCTAACAGCGCAAAAGCCTGTGCTCTGGAAAATCACCTTCAACGCATACATCCTATGTAATTACGTATGGGTTCTTGCTGGTTTCCTATCCCCAAAACTGATAGCCACAGCACAGCTGATTTGTGCCTTTCACCCGCCCATAGCATCCCATGGACATGACGGCTCTGATGGTCACTTTGCATCATCACCATCGTTGTCATCGTCATCCTCATCCTCATACTTATCATCAATCACCATAATCACAATCAATCACCATCATCATAATCAATCACCATCAACCATCAACCATCATCAGTCATCAGTCATCAGTCATCAGTCATCATCATCATCATCATCATCACCGTCTATCCGAGTAGAACCTGGATCTCATTCTCCCTGGCTGCAAACACTTCATGACTTGGGGTGTCTACAGCCTCTCACTTGTTGCAACACATGCATGCAGCATGCAACACAGCCTCATAAATCCCCGCCCTAAAAGCCTCTTCTTGCAGTCCAGCACAGGTACAAACCCTACGGCCCGACTTCTCCCCGATTGAGGTCCAGGTACGACTTCTATTCAATCAAAATGCAACTCAAATCCAAGCCGTTCTTCTGGATTTGGGTGCCTCTCAAGAAGAACTACGAGGTTGGCTGGGGATTCGATTCAAGATGATTCAAGGAACCCCACCAACTAGGGTTATTGGCTGGGAGTAGTCGGCTATAGTCGGCTCTTGACGAACCCAAGTCTTCCGTGCTGGAGTCGCGCTTTGGTCTCCTGTGCCGACCCTCCTTCTCGTGTAAAATCAGCTCCACGGCCCGACCTAAGACTCGATCGACAGGTCGACGAACGTCGCTTTCTCGGATGTTGTTGCCCTCCGCGAACCACTCCAGCTCAAATGTGGTTGACTTAAGCTATCTCATATGTCACCGTTACCACCGCCTTACATCAAGTTATATACACACATATACATATTATATATATATATATATAGCAATAAAACATCAATAGACCATCCTGACACTGCCAGCACTTCCGCAGGGGTCACTTGCAGAATTTATTCGGAGGTCCAAGTGCCATAGCATGCCATAGCGTTTGAGTGTTGCCTTTCAGCCTTTCAGCTGCAACTTGTCAGTGGCACTGTCATCTCCGCACAAGCCCAAAGCAAGTCACCAACGAGCAATCTTTCAAGGACAAACTACAGTAACCTAAAGAAGTCGATAGGTTAAAAAAAGCAAGTCAGCACATGTCAGCACTTGCGCAACAATCAACCAATGCATAGGCATACTAAGGCAGTGGAAAAATCCTCGACCTTCCAAAAAAGCAGTGAATTCGTGGAGCTGTATTGTTTTCAATGGTGCTACTGTTGCCGAATTTAAATAGGAGCACCATGCCGCAATTGCATAAGTGATCCATACTTGCCATTGACTTGATCTGCTCTCTTGAAGTGCGTATTCACGGAACATCTCAAATTCTTGTTCGAGCTGGCAGTGTGCTTGCAAGGAGAGGGTTTTTCTTATCTCTCCACCAAGGTTTGCGTACGATGCATTGAGCTTGAGTTCATGTGCTTTAGGTGTTTTCTAAATTTTCTGCTAGTCCACGCATCATACAAACCACAAATACAAACGTGAAGTTGTTCCTTTGGAACAGTTTGGACAGTGACAGATTGTCAGTCTGACAGCCTTCTTCTGGACCCAGCTTGGCATATAGCGGGTCAGTGCGGGTATTTTACTCATAGTGGATGAATCTGATTGAGTTGAACTGTGCTGAGAACTAGTCAAAATCAATTTCCGGCTATGGGAATTGTAAAGCAGGGACTATAACAGGACCATTCAATTGCAAGAATTGGCCATGGCTATGCATGGGGGAACCAAACATGGAACCAGGGAAGGCAGCCTCATATCATCCACACAATCTGCAAAGGGTAAGCTAACACATGTCATCAAAGGCGACTGACGGCTTGCTGACACAAACAATTGAAGCTCAACATGCTAGGGTGTTTTGGGGGTACCAGTACTGGGTAACATCTCAACTTTCTCGCCCAACCTTTCTCTGACAAACGAACACGGCTCCTGCACTTTGCTGGCAGGTCAGGACCTGTGACCATTCATGACCATTCCTTGCTGTGTCAGTCTTTAAGTCTTTCTTGATCTTGTCGGGAGGTCTTCGCGCCGAGGTGCTTTCAGGTATGCTGGCTGCACAATGAAGATCGTCGCCTGAGGGGCCTGAGGGGATCCATGCGACGAGACCGGCAACCACAGCACTGCACGACCGCACATAGCTTCGCGTATCACTTCGCGCAGAAACGCACATCCCGGCAGTTCCCAAGGATGTTGATGAAGCTCGCACCAAAACACTCACAAATGACACATCACATATCTACATCCGTATATACACTGGGGTGGCTAAAGTTGCGCTTCTTGACTTATAAAACGGGACAAACCCTTTCCCCTTAGAATCCTACGTGCAACATGTCGACACCTAAGTTGCGGTCAGATTTCCACACCTGAAAGCCTTATAAGTATTATAAATTTAAACGGGTGTGGAAATCTGACCGTGCTGTACCTGCCAGGCAAAATGGATGTGACAATCCGATCCGCTGTAGACCGCAAGTGTCATGTTGGAACAAAGTAAGAAGCGTAAACTTTAGGGTTTTTGAAGGGTGCCTTTTGTGTTTTTCAGAAGGTGCTGGACATGAACATGTGTAATTATTTATGATATTCGAATATTTGTTCTTGACTTTGTACCAGGACAACGTTTATGTCGAACAACAACATTTCTCATTAGGTTTAGACACAAGGCTACTACCTAGTAACAACGCACTGGAGTGCCGAAAGCTGCGCTTCTTGACTTATATATAGAACGGGACAAACCCTTTCCCCTTAGAATCCTACGTGCAACATGTCGACACCTAAGTTGAGGTCAGATTTCCACACCTGAAAGCCTTGTACGTATTATAAATACAAACGGGTGTGGAAATCTGACCGTGCTGTACCTGCCAGGCAAAATGGACGTGACAATCCGATCCGCTGTAGACCGCAAGTGTCATGTTGGAACAGAGTAAGAAGCGTAAACTTTAGGGTTCTTGAAGTATATATATATGCATATGATTGATTATACGTATGCCACAAACTGCCATCAGAAGTAGTGCCTGCCCACCAGCTTGCAGCGCTACACAAGTGCCTTGTTGAGATGCAAAGCCCCCTGAAAGTAGGACTAGCGGACACTGCCGCACCATTTGTTGGGGTTCAACTGTTTGTAAGTGTAAATTTGTGTGCACGTGTGAGTGTATAAGAGTGTGTGAGCGTGTGTGGCATCAATGCGTTTCTCGTTTTCTCCAGAATTCTCAGGGAATATTTTGAGACGAAACTTGAAACGCCAAAACCACAAGCCATGACAAAAACCAAGAACTCACGATCTTTTGGTCATCCACTGTGCTGTGCAAAAAGATAGATGACACGGCACACGAAGGCCATTCGGCCGCCGTCTCCGCTGTAAGTGGGACAGGTAAGAGATGCAATGCAAGGCATTGGAAAACAAAAGTCGTCTTAAACTCCTACACATGCCACAAGACCCATGCAAACTTACTGGCGGCTGATGAACTTCATCTTTCCATATCTTTCCAGCTATCAAACTTGATGCTTGTTTCATGGTTGCACCTCCACCACACTGAGATTCTCTTCAACAGGTCTTTTTGGAGAAAGGCTGCCGCCCTGCAAACATGCATTTCCCATGTCCGGTCTAAGCTACACGAACTGACAATTGTCCTTGCGAACTGCCGCAGGTGCTTTCCCCAGGCTGGTTTGGGCCACTAGCCTAAACTTTGACCAAATGGCCATCACAAGCCTTCCAGAAGGCCAAGCGCCTCCTGAATTAGGGCCTTCCCCTGCTCTTCGTTGCCGGTCTTCAGCGATCTGGTCGCCTGCGATCCGAACACGTGGAAGGAGAAAACATATGAGAACTGGACGCTTTCGGGGGAAACCTGCGGGGTTCCTCAAGAATCAAGAACCCTGTGCTGGACATCTCCAGTCTATTTAGTACATTTAATTTGAGATTTCAACTCGGGAGATCAATGGAGATTGTGCACCAGCCCACCCCATGCCGGGGAGATTGCATCGTCGTCGTGCTCTAGAAATCGATCGATGCTTATGATCAGTCGTGGGGCTCATGTCGGGTCCATCAGTGGTCATGGCTGCATCTTGCACGTCTCAGCCAGGTGCGGAACTGAGAATCTTGATCCAGTGATCTGAAAAGAAAACGATGGTCTTTCATCCAGCTACTGAAGAGTGCAGCGGAAAGAGTGTACATAAAAAAAACGACAAATCCGCACATAGTCCACCCTGGTCAAAATAAACGGCTGGACTGGACTGGATGTTTAGCAGTGAGTCAAAACATGCCAAAGTCGTGGACTCCAGTGAAATCCAGTGAACAGTGAGCCCTCAAATAGCGGCCTCGTCAATCTTCTTCCTCGCCTCGCTCTGTCGCTTCCCCCGTGGCATTGCAAGAACCTCTGGAGACACAACTGCTCGGGCTGCCGGTGCAGCAGGTGGTTTAGCTGCCGGTGCTGCAGGTGGTGGAGCTGCCGCTGCAGCAGGTGGTGGAGCTGCCGGTGCTGGAGGGGCGGGCGCAGGAGCTGCTACAGGTGCTGGTGCGGATTGGGGGGGAGGCAATGCAGGCTGTTGCAGGCGCGGTGGGGTGGGGGCCTCTGGATGCACGCCCTGCTGTGAACCTGCAGCGCGAATGATGAAGTGAAACTGAAACACATGATGCGGAAAGTCTTTGGACTCAAAACCCTGGTCAAATTCTTGTTGAAGGGCTACCTTCAATCTAAAACTATCTAAAGCTCTAAGCAAATGCCAAGCCACAGGCTCGCAAATAGTCCGCGCGGCGGAGGGCATATGACGTCCGTTCCCTCAACTCCTGGGGAACCTCGGGGATTGCACTGTAGAACTGTGACAAGCTCTCCAGGTACACGCTCACGTCTCGCAGATCTCTCAAGGAGTCTGAAGCGACCGCCCGCTCGTAGTCTGAGAGGATCAAGTCCTGTGTCTTCTGAGGGCCATTGGTTAAATTCAGCTGGCTCTTCTTGTTCTCAGCTGTCTGCAATGTCGCCAGCATGAGTTGATCCGCTTCAGGAGAGGACTGACCAGCTTGCCGGGCTTTCATCCTGAGACAAAAAACGGCCCTTAATTTCCGGAGGTCTTTGCAACGGAATCTTCCAGGCTGGTTCCCCTAACTAACAGTGGATTCGTTGGCTGGTTTTGGGACATGTTTGCCTTGATCGTCGTGGCCACTTGAAGGGTCTCTAAAGGTGGTTTCTTCCTGTTCGGGAACTCCTTTCGCCAGGATTCAAGAGTTCCAAGGCCGCGACCTGCAGGTAGTAGGCTGGCACCGGCGATTGTGCTTCTAGCGACTCCCCTTTCTGAAGCAGCGCTTGGGCCTTTTCCAGGGGCGTTGTGTACGGAGGGGCGTTGGCGACCGGGGCAGGCTCCGCAGGCACGGGCCTCAGCGATGGTGGGATAGATGAAAAATTAGATCAGTAAAGATATTTATTTTGGATTGGATGGGGCTGATAAGGTACACACACACACACACATCACACACACTTAGATCCATGCGGCCCTATCAGTTTGGAAACTCCACAGTGAGGTTAGCCTTTACGACTAGTGACCGCAATACCCGATTGGAGCACTGAAACCTGAAGCCTAAAATGGCCCTGCTCGCAACGGAAAAACGATGAAGTCAGCCTGAACAGTATTGTTTAAAGCACCGCTGTGAAAAAAACAGGTACGTCGAGAGAGCGTCCCCTCTCGATATCCTAGTCTGAACCTGGAGCTTTGATGGCTCATGCCAGGAACAGGCCCGTGAGCGCCCTGCATTGCTGTAAGAACTCAATATTCGCGGGTGGGATAAGTGGTGGCTTGGTGTGACACAGCTCATTAGGAACAGGAGGCGAAGCACAAAAGCCGCCGTGACCGGCGCACCCAAGTGGATTCGCACAACACTTTTTTCGCTCGTGGGGGGGGGGGGGGGGGATCGACTAAGCGAGCATGAAAAGCAACCTACATACAAGCTTGAAATAAGACCCAACAAACGAAAGAAAACAAGGAGAGAAAGGGGGTGTGGGGGTGCGTGCGGGGAGGGGAGGGGAGGGGCTGAAGCCCTTGCAGGCATGAAGCCGAATCCGGCGCACCCTCGACTAAAAAAGACATGAAGCCTAACAAACCTCTAGCAACGAACGAAAGACCTCGAAAGAGAAAACCCAGGAAGGAGAGAAAGCAAGACCGTGCATTACTCAGTTTCATAAAAACTTGGAACAGTGAATGCACTAGCCGCATGACATGTCATTCTGTGAAAAAGGTTTTTTTATCAGTAAGCTCGGCAGCTTGTTAGCAGCAATCTCGAGCAGAAACGAAAAGTCAGGAGTAATTGTGCAAGGCCGATGAACCAGTGAGATCCCCCTTGAGCGTCTGTGCTCAACGCGCCCCGAAGAAATCACACAACAGACAGAGGGGGGCCCTGTTGCGAAACATCTAGGTCCATGCTCGCAAGAGCCCTATCAGTTTGGAAGCTCCAGTGAGGTTACCACGTTACAACAATAGTTACTGCAATACCCGGTTAAAGCGCTGAAGCCTGAAGCCTAAAATGGCCCTGCCCGCAACGGAAAGGCGATGAAGTCAGCCTGAAAACACCGCTGTGAAAAGAGAGTTGCAGGTACGATGAGAGAGCGTCCTCTCTCAATATCCTAGTCTGAACCTGGAGCTTCGATGGCTCACGCCAGGAACTTGAACAAACCCGTGAGCCCCCTGCATTGCTGCACAAACGATTAAAGTGGTGGGCTAAGTGGTGGTTTGGTGTGACAAAGCTCCTGAGGAACAGGAGGTGACACACACTTTGACAATGGGTTTTCAGTTAACTCAATTCCCAGGTCGAAAATGGTGAGGGAACGGAAAGGTGCAAAATCAGCTCAACTGAAATGTTCAACACAGTTGCACCTGACTGCGGAAAGCGGCGGCGGCTCAGTTACATAGGTAAAAGGAAACCTGTTTTGGGAGGTATCATGTGGAACGACCATGAAAGCAAAGAACAGCGGCGAAAATTGGAGTTGTATCACGATGCAGGTACATGGTTGAGCGTCCTCAACCACTTCCCTTCCAGTGACCCAGCTTCGTTGGATCAGGTTAGCCACTGGAAGCCTGATCCCCCTGCTTGTGGAAAACTCTTAGGAACAGAGTGTGACACACACACTTCGAACTTGGGTTTTCAGTTAGACTCAATTGCCACGATGGGAAGGAAGGCGGTGGAACAGTATGGCGAAAAGTCGGAAGCACTTGTAGGTGTTTTAACAAAGGCTGTTTCCCTTGACTGCGATGACCAAGCGGCTCACGCTGCGCCTTTGCTGGGGAAGAAAAGGTTTAGGGAAAAGTATCGTGAAGGACCATGGAACCAAAAAACGAGAGTAGACAGCTTGTCAACAGTTGAAAAGGAAAAGCAGGTACGTGAACCTGGCGTCCCAGGTTCATATCCTCTCCAATCATCAGTAGCTTCGTTGGCCACAGACTGATGAAAGGAGCTGTGGCCCCCTGCCTCTTTTTCTGCGTTGAGAGACTGTAAGTTAGTAGCGATACCAGGAGGCCTTAGTAGCAAAGCCAGGGGCCCTAGTAGCGTCCTTACACCCTGTAGAAAGGTCGGAGGTCCTGGCTCCTGATAGCGAGGCCAGAAGCCCCTAGTAGCGTCGTTGGTGTCCACCGGTCGCAAAACTTTGTACATATAGCGCCAATATTGGCGCGTTTTGTGAAGACTACTAGCGACCTAAAAAGCCTTAGAAAGACAGAAAAAGCAAACAAAACAAAAGCAGACTAAGAGGGCAAGAAGGAAAGATAGGTGTAGTTACGAGGCCCACTTAGTTACAGTAAATGAAAGTAGAGTGCGAGCGGGACATTTTGTCTTAAACCGCCCGGGTAGCTAGCAATAGCTAGGAGAAACAGAAGGAAAGGCACCAACACACAAGTGTGTTGAGTGCGATTTCCTTCTGTTGCCCGAAAAGCGGGTGGGGTAGCAACAAGGCCCAGGGGTAGGGGGGGTTGTGTGTGTGCCTATGCATGTAAATGCCCGGCCTGTGAATACTTAGCTGCAAGACGTGGACAAGTGGTTACTTAGCCGTATGCAAGAAACCAAAACCCTTAGGAACAGGGGTCGACACACACACACACACACACTCGGCCGCTTTGCGGCGCTGTCGCGGAGGACCTAAATAGGCACCTAAAAAGCCTTAGAAGCAAGAGAAAGAAAAACAGAAAGAGCAGCCAAAAGGGCAAGAGAGAAAGATAGGAGTAGCAAAAAGTGAATACTTAGCCCTTGGCTGGGGTAGGGAAACGAGCCTGAAGAACAACCTAAAAGCCTGAGAGAAAGCCCAAGAAGCGACGAAAAGCGCAAGAAGGAAAGTGGGGGGCAGGGAGGTGTATGTACATGTGTGTGTCCGTGTGTGTGTGTGTGTATGAATACCTAGCACTCTAGAAATACTGAATACTGAGACGAAGTGAATTCGGTGCACTAGTTTTGGAGCGGGACTTTTGTCTTACACCGCCCGGGTAGAGTAGACTAGAAAAGGGACAACAGAGGGAAAGGCACCGACACACAAGTGTGTTGAGTACCATTTCCCTCTGTTACCCTAATTAAAGGGAGGGGGGGGTTGGGGTGTTTGGGGTAGAGAACACGTCGGGGTTTATTCTCCGTATGCCCGGCGGCTTTGAATTTCCGTGACGCCCGGCGGCTTAGATTTTGAGAATACAGTGGTGAAACGAAAATCAGTTAAGATAATCCAACGAGTGCAGAAAGCAGCAGAGTCAGTTAGTGGTAGTCCGGCATGAAATCAGCGCCCCAGTGACGGGGATCACACTGTGCACCCACGTGGGACAGCACAGCGGCACACACTTTGACAATGGGTTTTTAGTTGACTCAATTCTTAGGTCGAAAATGGTGAGGGACCGGAAAGGTGCAAATCAGCTCAACTGAAGTGTTCAACACTGTTGCACGTGACTGCGTTATATTTCTTACTTATATGACATTGACCACCAACTTTAATGTATTGTTGTTGGTGGGGCGAATGGCTAGTCTATTTATATATATATATTGGATGGCATTTATTTTCCTCCTTTCTGTCTCTGCGGCTTTTTCCTTTCAAGATGTGTCTGGGGAATTAAAATAAATGCAATCCTATCTTATTATATTTTGCTATCAATAAGATGCGACAGAGTGTGACACACACACACACGTATGTATATATATATATATTATATTATATTATGTTATATTCTATTATATAACATAATTATGGGTATGGTATGTACAGTATGCACAAAAACGTTGCTCTGCACTGCCTCAAGCCGTGAACCGTGGGTGTCAGGCCATCATATCCCGAACAGCTGGGGCGTAAATCCTACAAATGATGAAAGCTTCGTTTGTTGCAGTGTCCCACTGAGGTGAGACAATTCTCAGTGACCCAATAATCTTCAGGCTGCCAGGCTCGTGTGATGAACAGGAATGAACAGGATGATAAGCGCCACATGTTCCCACAGCCATTAGCCCAGGATCCACAAAACGCCGCAATGAATCCTTACAAATCCGCTACTCATGTTGCCTTTTGATCAAACAGTCCACCCAAAATTTCAGAACCAGAATGGTCAAGCATCTTCAGTAACATTTAGTAACTAAAAAAAGATCATAACAAGCAAAATGAGAAGTGCATGAGTTGACCCTGAGTTATGTAGAATAATGTAGACAAACACACGTGCGTCATGCAGCCATCTTTGGGGGTTGTGCACACGTCTGCAAATGCGAATCCATTCCTGTTATCTTCATATCATCTTCTGTTTCGAGTGGGATTTGATTTCTTCCGAGTGACGATCTTGTCTCCGAAAGCAGCTTCTCGATATCCTCTGGCAACTTCAACACCGTGCTTCTTTTTCAGGTTTGTGAAGTCAAAGGACCAAAGGATGATTCTCATGATCAACCAGCATCAGGCCGAAGGATGTTATTCAAAAATAAGATTGTGACACTCTGATCTATGATTCTTTCAGCTCTCCTGCTGCCGCTGGAGCTCGAGTTCTGCCTGGCGCTTTGCCTCCGCTGCCTTTTCCGCTTCCTGGTTGGGGATAGCGCTGGGCCCAAGTGAAAGCAAACTATTCGGCCAACCAAAGAGCCTCACAGCTGTTTTAAGGGAGCAAATTCATATCAAGCAAGCCTATTGAATCCAACTGACCACCTTTTGGATTGAATCTAAATCGCAAAACTGTACTTCAATATACCCAATGATCTTTGTGAAAGAATAGGGTATGATAAAATCACAGGCAATCCTGCATTTGCCAATGCAGTCTTCCTAAAGCATTTGCAAACTTGCTAAGCTGGCGGTTGCTGCGATCTCCTGCTTCTGCTGGACTTGGGCTTCTGCCAAGCGCTTTGCTTCTGCCTTTGGCACGAGGGATGAAGTAGTCAACCATTAGCAAAGTGCAGGGGGCTGGAACAAATGGGATGTGGAGGCAAAGCAATGTTATCGAACATCCTTCAAACAATCATGTCATGTATATAAATCCATACATGGCAAACGGCAAACGGTTATGTTATATACATGTATATATTTATGTATTTATATATGCACATTAATTGTAATTGTAAGCGCTACTACTTGGCTGCCGAAAAACGCAGGCTTCTTGGGCAAACACTTATATATATATATATGTAAACAAGCAAAGCTGCGGACAAGGTACATCCACCTGCATGTTGATTAACACCACGCTCACCCGTCCATGACTTCATGGATGCCTTTCTCTATCATTCTCTTGTCGTTTGCTCAAGAAACTTGGCAGCCAAACCTTTTCCCATCCCAACGCCGTTCGACGAATCTATTCTGTGGTTTGGGGGAGGGGCTTTCGCTCAGCTTCGGCCAAGTTCGCCTGGGCTGCCTTCTCTGCTTCCTCTTCAGGGATGAGCCGCGTGCAACACCAACAATGACAGCCGCGTGATGGCGGTTTACTGGTGGATGTATATGAATGGCAGGGTTAGGACCCAAACACGACAATTTTGCTTTCTGATTCACAGGTCCAAGAACAAGCGAACCGTTATGAGCCAGAACACCAAACTGCTGTTCCTCCCACTGATTGATCGACTTTGCTCAAGTCAAACCAATATTTTCCTGCTCTCCTGCTTCTGCTGGAGCTCGACTTCCGCCAAGCGCTTTGCTGCCTTCTCTGCTTCAGACTCCTTCTCTGGGACAAGCGTTCTTGGCTGAAGCCCTTACGAATGGCAAGTGACTGATAACCGTGGAATAGATGGGCAACGAACAGCCAAAAACCAGGACCTTTGAAGGGCTGGGGATGGCATCCGGTGCAAGTACCAGTTTCCAAGTGTTGGGGACTCTCAATGTATTCCACTATCAAGATCACTCCTCCAATCTCCTCCACTGGGTTTGGAAATAATCGAGAAAATCTCAGCCAGCTGGGAATCGACCTGCATGTGGCTCGAACATCCAATCGCCAAGCTTCGACTGGGGCTTCAATGAACTTCTGGGCCCACCCACCACCCAGCGGTATTCCATTCCTGCAACTTTCACACCACCAAACGCCCAAACTGGGCGACAAAGTGGTAAAGAAGGCCTGGGAGACGAGCAATCTTTTCTTGTGGTCTTCTCCCTCAAAGTCAGCCCTCGAAACGTTCAACAAGTATTTGGCCGATCGAAGTAGCTTCGAACCGCAGCTTCGATCGGCCGGTCCTCTGGACTGACAGAAGGCCCTGCCAAATCTGCGACACATCCTTGGACAAATTCGAAGGACATCTCCTTCTTTGGATGTCTGGTATGACGTTGCGTGGACGTACTACAGACTTTGCCAGGGAAGAGGCCACTGCGTCCGATCTCGAGCTTTGGCTCTTTTTGTCGTGCCGGGTCCGGGTCCACCCGAAACTATACAGTTTGGCCCTTTACATAGCCCTCCCTTGCAAAGGAACAACATTTTCCAAACATGCTATAGGAGTACTGTACTATATATGTTCTTCACCATTTCCCTTGAACACCCTCAGTCTGATGAGACAAAGGGAGGCTCAGCAAATGTGCAGGAATCCAAATGCTTGCAAAAACTATTAGATAGAGACTTCTTAAGTGGTGAATCCTACTATATATATAATATACCTATATTAAATATGTATAAATATGTATATATATATATGTATATGTATAAATACGGTATACACAGTCACATGCAAAAAATTATCCTGGACGATTCCTTGGATGGTGATGACCAGTTGTCACACAGCTGACACGAGCACCCTTTCATATGCCATCCGAGCATCCCATCATGGATTTCAAGCGATCCTGGCAAAGGAGTCGAGAGGGCACTGCAAATCACAGGAAGTCACCCCTCCATGGTCTTTGGACCATGACGTTGTGCTACAAAGCATGACAAGACCATCCATTGCTCATCCTTATGAGGAAAGTATATCCCTAACCAGCGACGATCTTGTATTGGCACGGATCACCTCAAACCATCTCTGGAGGCCCAGTCGTTCGAATTCAATTGATTGGGCCACTGAGACAATGACTGGGGCATTAAGCCCCCAGTGAGAAAAAGAGTTCAAAGTGAGACCAAGCAGGTGGACCCATCTATACTGTACTTTACACTGTGCTTGACCTATCTGCACCAACAACTCCCATCAAAAGTCTGGTTTGTTGCCAGCCATGGGGGCCACCAAGCGATGTGAGCCCTGGAGGCCTCGAGTGACTCGAAGCTGGGACTGCAATAAGCCTAGGCCACTCGTGGTGCATCAAACTGGTCTCGAGCAGCGACGGTCACTGGGAAGGGACGGCTGTTTCGATGGGATCTCCTATGGGCGTATGCTGCTTCATCGGAGGCTGTGGGATTCCGTGCAGCTTTGCACATTCAGAATGGCCCATGCATTCTTCTAGATTCTTGGTGAACATTACTTTCAGTATTTGCATGAATTTACCAAATGTCCAGGGGACGCCTTGCTAATTGCGTCAGTATTACAGTATGTCTATTATGTTCCAATTGGACTACCTACTGTAATTCATTCTTATTCGATCCAGTTCGCCTGTATAATTTCTCTACTCAGAAACTTGATTCTAGATGGACCAGCCGTCCCCACTTCCCTGAAGTTGGTTTCCTATGCAGTTTTGCTTCTTAAACTCGCCTTGCATTTCTTGAAAACAACAACTCTTAGACTCTTCTATGCCATCTTCTGGAAAAAGCAAACACCGAACCTCTCCATTTGTCATCATGGCCTCGTGCATCAATCATGTCCCGCCTCTTCAGTGAGAACCTCTAGATTCTCCTGACCTCGGTCGAGCCCGAGCCGCGTGTCCGCGATTGAGAACCTCCCCGCACTGATCCCACTGTTCAGCACAAGGCAAGTGAAGCCCAGTATTTTTTTGCGATCATGTGCCATCCTTCATTGCACATCGGCCATCATCCATTTCCTTTGACTTCATTTGACCGGGCCAATGAATGTATAATAATGTATATTATAGGCGGAGACCTGGCCAAAAGAAAGGGAGAGGATGGGAGACGAACATGTATAACACTCCAAACCAACCACTTTTTGGTTCTAAGGAACCATTTTCCACTTCATCCATCCCAAGAAGGGGCCGTTGCTCACCAAGCTACTGAAGCTGGCGCTGTTCGAGGCCTCTTCTGCCTCCGAGTGGTCAGGGCCCAGGGCCTTCTGTAGAACCTCCGGCAGCAACTGGAGCCGCGCCTCTGCTCGGATGTGCCAAGATTCCGTTTCATCAACAACACTCCATCTGCCTGAGGACCTGAGGATCAACTGCAATGGCAGTATTCAGGTGTTTGGTTCTTGAAGCGGGGTAAGTGTTTTCAGTCATTAGGCCTTTCCCGAGGTCACAGTGTTCATAAATGATACAACTGTTCACAGGCCACCCTTTTCAATCACAGTGTTCATGTCAGGCCGTTTCTCTCCGGTCCCATGCTTTTCTCTCCGTCCGGGTCGATCCTGGAGCTTCGGACGCATCTGGTCCAGGCTCTCTTCCCAACCACTTTCTTGTCGAAGAATCCCTTGGCTCGAGAGCCACGCACCCGGGGCGCGGTGGGCGGCAGCGCAGCGGAGAGAACAGTGGTGGGAGAGCAGCGTGCGGGAGCTCCGTGGAGCGTGTGCTGTTGGCACGGAGGTGTCCGGAGCTGTTGGCATGGATTGGTTGACCCCGGGTTCTGACAAGCAACCTCTAGATACTAGTGAAAAAGAATCAGCAAATGTCGATCCCCTCTTGTTGTTTGTTTTCTGAAATGACTACGTATTCATTGATCAAGCGTATTCCAGCACAGGTGGGCTTGCTGCATGCTAGCCAGCCAAGTCGACGACGGGAGAGACATTGCCGCAGCTGTGACCTGCAATCCCCACGAATGACCTGATCTAAACATGACGTAGCACATGAATCAACATGACGTATACATTAACGCCATACAACATTAATAATACTGTATAATTAATACAATTCATATTGGCATCAACATGGACCAACAAATTATATCGGATCTCATCTGCCAAATCTTTTGACCGTGGCCACAAAGCTGCCTAGTCTATTTCACGGCATCAGTTTTGTCCTACACATTATTCAGGCCTATTTATACATTTGGTGCCGATTTGGATAATAAAGGGTCTTTTCAAAATCAAGCTGTCTCAGATTGGTCATTGCTGTATGTTGGACATGTTGAGAACGCAAATCTGTTTTCCAGTCAGGTCATGTTAAGCCTCTTAGCAGAATAGTGAGAGAAACAGCGAGAGATATACCAAAACGTGGTAGTTTGGTCTTTCAAGCGGAGCCAAGAAGAAGCAAGCTCTCCATGTGATATTCCTGACTCCTTTAATTCCAGGATTCCTCAGTGCTCAGTTGAGTTCTTGGACTCTTACTGGTTGGTCGTTGGGACCTTCCTGAACCCATCGATGCGGTCGAGCTGGGCACTCACCGAACTGGGCTCTACCTGTGGGAGATTTGGGGTCTAAACAAGTCAAGTATGTCAAAATATTCAACCTCGGTTTAGTCAGTGCACCTATGTCCAACCTGGAACCCTACAAAAGAACATTTCGATCATTTAGAACGACCATGTCGACGCCGAAGACCGGACCCGAGCACTCGTCCGACCTCTCCCAGCCAAAAGTCCGATGACCTCTCCCAGCTGCGATCGGAAATGGGCCTTGCAACGGAGGGAACTCACCTCCCGTTTGGTGTCAGTCAAAGGCAAAAAACGGTCCAACAAACAACAAGCAGGTCCTGGCAAAACGAGTTCTTCGAATCCTTTAGGATCTTTCGGCATGCATAGTGATGCAATGTTATGCATGCATATTATGATTTTTGGCGATTGTTCCCAACAAAGCAAGTTTCCACGTCTCTCGCCCGCGAAATGCGGCGATGTTCGGATTCTGCCAGGGCCTTCTTCTCTCCAAAGCCCACCAGGAATTCCCAAACCATCGCTGCTTGTCCCACCTGACTCGCCAGTTGCAGGGGATCTGCTGCCTGAGCCAAGCCAAGCCGGACGAGCCAAAGGTGAACATGACATAGCTCATCCTTATCTCGGATCCTATCCCTAGTAAGCAGGCTTCCCACAGCGGCTGGAAACTCGAACCCAGGTCACATGAGGGAAGAACATCCACTGAAGGGATCCGCATGGAGCATGAACATCTGAAAATTCTGCAGCTCCTGCTCTCAAAACTGCAGCTCGTCAACGGAAACTGACCCCACCAGTTTCCTGACCTTCATCATTCCTCCAATCTTCAAGAAGGTTTGAAGCCATCACTGGCAGGCATACAGGTAACTAATTAGACCGTTTCTTTGATGACGTTTTATTCAAAGGCGACACTACCGACATCAACTTGAAACAGCAGCCTTGTTCCCCCAAACCGTTCCTAGCCCAAAGCTCTCAATATCTTTCAATAGTTTACCAGCCACATCCGATCTTCTATGGGCCCAGCACAGCCAGGTGGCCAGCACAGCCAGTCTCAGGAGGCGGAACTCTTCATTGGCGCCCATGTAATGTTCCATGCGCACCGCTGCTTCCAGGGCCCCCCAATCGGGCCACTCCACCTGATCAGGAACTGCCAATTTGCGACTCCCACCAGAGGCAGGCAGGATGAAAGGAACACTACAAGTATACATACCCAATGTACATACACAGGCGAGTAGATTTTGACAGCTGGCATTGCACCTATCATGTGCAAAAACTCAACGGCCCTCATTCTGTGAACGAGTGTGGCAAGTTGGCAAGGAATGGGCTCTTTCCAATGGGTACAGGTCCCTACCAAAAATACTGGACTCTTCATGGTTCAATAAGCTACCGGCGTTTCCCCAGGTTGCCCACAACCCAGTGGTAGGTTCCAAACTCCCACCATCCGAGTCGGCTCAACAGAAGATGTTGACAAGGACATCCTACTGGCTGAACCCATGGCATGGGCAAGCACCGACCCAAACCTGAGAGTTTTGGAGCCGCACCACTTGCATACTTGACTTTCAGAATCTGGAGCGCCATCTTTCACCTTGCAGATCTTCCCGACAAGTTCCCTTTTGAGGGCCCAAAGCTTTCCCGGGGTGTGAGCTTTCGTATGTTTTCATGTTGACGGTTCCGGACCATCCATTCTTAGGAAGATTTCCCGTTTGCAGTTCCCCGGAACTTCCCGATTCGGCCGTGCCTCCTTGCCTGACACCTTCACTTTCTCTACCTTCGCTTCCTTAGGCACTTCCTTGGGCAATTCCTCGTCCACAGCCTCCAAGGCCTTCCGTACGTCTGGGTGGAGTTGCTGGGCCTTCGCCCGGAACGTGGGAGAAGAGGCATACGCGTTTCCTGGAGCGGTGGAGCATGCGGAGCAAGCGGGTCGGGTCAAAACGAGTCCGTCTTGGTCCTCCAAAGGGTTGAATCAAAGGTGTGGCATCAACAGTGCCATGAGGTGATATGCACGCACTGTAATGCATCATATGTAGAGGGTATTGTCACGGAGCTAGACTGGGCATTAGCCCTTGCATTTCTTGGTGCAAATTCAAGCATCTAAAGCTGGGCTCGGTCAAAAGCACTTGGACTACTTGGCAAACATGCGAGCGGTAGAAGGTCTTCTTGTCAGCAAAGCCCAGCAGAAACTCCTGGGAGTTGCCGATGACTTGAACATGTTGAATCTCCAGCCGCACCACTGGCTACTTGTTTTTCTCAGCCAAACATCAGCACCAATCCATCACTTGCCATAAACTTACATAGACGCCCCACATGCTCATCCCTTGTGCGTGGCATTCTTTGCACAAAAGGTCATGCGGAAAAAACAATTACCACTAGCATCCACCAGCAGAACTGCTTGCTTTGCATGGAGGGCCCGCCCTTTGATAACACCATGGACTTCAGTCCATCTCCTAAGCCTCTTGAGTTTGTTAAGTTTACAATTTATCATCAAAACCTCCGCTTGGAGACCTACATAGGCTCATAGACATACCTACCCACTCGGTGTGTCCAAGCGTTGCAAGATTCAAGCCATCCACTGCCCTTGAAATCAGAAACAGCTGTTGGATCTCGTCGAATCGTCAAGAATGGTGCGAAACCAATTGCAACCAGCTCGCTCCGACCTTTCAATTGCAGGAGCAAGTATTCTTCCATCCATTGATAGGAACCAAAAAAATCCTAAGAACCACAAGCTGGCTTGCTTCATCACTATAAAGCTTCAATCCACTTGCTTCACCTCCACATGATATTGCCAAAGCTCCCAAGTCACGGTTGCATACTTCGCCTGGGCACCCAAATCGCCACCTGCACCCAAGGCTTGCTGGACCGGTGGTCCCGTAAAAGGGGGAACATGGGGAAAATTCCTATCTTCTCTACTGACGGGTCATGATGGGTCCGGGTGGTGGACTCTTCCAAACCGTTCTTGTGTGAACACTGCTGCCTTTGATTGAAAAGGGGTGGTTCGGTGAGAGAAATGCCCGGAACGAGACCAGACTCGGCGCCTTACTGAGAGCCTTCCAATTGAAGCATCTCTATGGTTAGCGGCGTCCTTCAAACGCATTCACAGTTCTCTTCTCTGATTGGTCAGTGGCTAGCTTTAGCACTTCTTGAACATCCGATTGCGGCTGACAAAACACCGACAAAAACATTCCAAAACAAAACAACAAAAAACAAGAACAAGAACAAGAGTGCAAGAACAATAACAATAACAAGAACAGCAAGAACAAGAGCAAGAAAAAGAAGAACAATAACAATAACAATAACAAGACAAAAACAAGAAGAACATAGAAGCACAACAACACGTCGAGGGCGAGGTGTCTGCAAAGTTGAACACTCCTGATGCAAGGTTTGCGTAGTTTAAAGCTTCTTCTGAGACAGGAAACCAAATCACGTTGCGACCTGCCTGTCCGTAAGAGACCATTGTTAGGCATTAGAAGTTCTTCAGGGTGTGCCAGTTCCACCAATGGCGACGACATAGACCTTGATCATCCTTCTTGATCTATGTTAAAAAATGTTAAAAGCATGCTGACACCTTCTTGAGACACATTCTGGGCCCCCTTCAACAAAAACACATGCAAAACCATGCAAAAACGCTCTTCCGGAGGATTTGCTCTTAAGTGCTCTTGGGTCAAGTTCATGAAACAAATCCTACAGAAGTTCAACCGCCGCACGCAGCACGTCGAGATAAACGCTCTGTCAACCCAGTGGCTTTTCAGGATGGCAGTCTTTAACTTTGTGAACTCATCGTTTGCAGACATGTAGCCTTGGTGTTCAAGCAAGGACGCCAAACCTGACCTGGTTTCAGCGTTTCAGCGCCCGCACCATGTCAGCAGTGGCAAAACGTGGAGCGAATTGGCGGACAAGTCACTCTCATGCTTCACCACAGCTTCCACACGTGGCCAAAGTTCCCAAAGCGCCATGGCGCGATACGCAGCTGTCAAGGAGCGGTCTTGAATGCGAGGCTACAATCTGTGGACGCTAGCTTGGAGATTTCTAGATGATTGCAAGTTTTTCACTCGTGGTTTGTAGATGTTTGTAGTAGCCTCCTCGAAACCGCAGGTGTTTGGAACCTTGATGTGGAGGTATCATTCTATGCTCCCTGAAGTCTTTACCTACTTGGGGGCCATCATGTGTCTGCTCCCCACCACGGCCGGTGGCTGCTGTACTTATATAACTTGTTGCATAACTTGTTGCAGCAAACGCTGCAAAGCATGGGATGGATTGCTTGGTCATTTTCCAAAGGCGTTCTCCGGGTCGCGTACCCTAACCCTTAGGCCTTAAGCTCCACAAGTGATAACGACGCCTAAAGGCCATACCACCTCCAACATCATGACGAGGACAACCTTGCACCATTCATCGCCAATGTTTCACGTAAAGCAAGACTAAGACCTACACACTCCCGGGAATCATCATGGAAGTGGCAAATGGCCAGTTGGATGACCCTTTTCCTCCACAAACAGCTGGTTTTCCACTTCCAAGATTGTTTCGGGGAGTGTGTAAAATTGAACCATCTGATGTGCCCAAGTCACGCTCACGAGGACGTGCATGCATATGCTTCAGCTGCGCATAGAGGGCCGCAAAGCCCCGGTCCACTTGCTGTTGGAGCCTCAGCACCAGTCTTCATGTGCTCCAGTTGGGCGTTGGTCAAAGGTCCGGAATTCTGTTTGACTCTCTGAAATGAACAGAATGGACCAGGGAGATCAATCCGCCCCATGGTTTTGGGAGGTAGTTCTCGACCCAAACCCATCCCTTGTTTTGGATCTTAGATATTTTAGAGGGCCACAGGCCTCTTATGACCATCTTGGAGATAGAATGTTATGCAATATTATGGGACAGTTCAGCAATCATCCGACAGAAAAAAACACAGGTTTTCAAGTCATGATCCGAACACCACACATCTGGTCTCCCTGAAATTGGTCAAACTATACGCTGCAGCCGCTATTTCCAGCTCTTGCAGCTCATATGTCTCACACACAGTAGTTATTTATTGTTATAGATTATAAACATATAAACATTATAAACATACATAGTTCTACATATAATGTCATCATATAACTATATATATATACATACACACTAAGTACAAACAAAACATAGGCATTGTAGCAAAAAATACTAAAATATGCGGACACTTTCCGCAGTTTCTTCTCCAAATCTGGAAACTACAGATTGTAAGTTGGGTCGCCCCCCCCAGGGGAACAACAGGGCTTCCACCAACAAGCAATCAACATAGTGGTGAGTCATGAGTCATGAGTTCTTGGACTGTTACTGATGTTGCTGGGTGCCGCACTGATCCAGCTTGGCCTGGGGCGAATCAACCTGAACTCCTGAAGTGCAAGGCGCGCCGATGGTGGCCAGGGACCGAGTGTCACCCAGGGTCTCAAAATGTCTCAAGATCATGGGGGCCGTCCAGCCTCATTCAGCCTTCAGCCAATGCTTACTTTCAAACAGTCTGGAAACAAAGCTGCTGTGCTGCATGCAAATCAGTTATTTCAGCAAGTGAGCACATCTAGAAGCAACTGAATCAACACTGGAAAGGAACTCCAAAGCCAAACTCCGAGGAAAAGCAACTCCACGGTCCACGGACGTTTCCAGTCGGTCCGCGACGCTTCGTCCCACCTTGCAAGTCTGCTCGCATCATGTTCACGTCGGTGATCAGTGCCTCGACCTGTCGAGTGCCGAGTCCGCCGGTGCCCCGGGGGGGGGCGCCGAAGGCCGGCGCCGGGGAGCGAGGCGTGGCATGTGCGAGTGCTGAGCCCTGTTCAAAGGCTCCGCGATGCTCCGCGGGTGCCCTGAGGTAGACTATGTTGGGGGGTAGTTTCAGCAAAGGTGCCTCTGCTAAGGCGATGTGAGGCTGACTGGATTGTAGGCTACTCAAAGAAGACTTTGCAAAGTGAAGCATGGGAAAATTGCCAAGTGTCGAAAATGGACCTACCATGACATAAGCATAAATGACCCCCAATCCAAAGGCAACATATATGGATATATGGTAACTACGGCAACTGGTGGACCAAGGTGATTACTGGAGAGTGCACCCTGCTACCCTGCTCTTTGATTGAAGTTCATGGAAAATTGGCCAGTGCTGCGAGCATCTCTCACTAGTCCAACGGTAGAGCCCACCCAAACACATTGAAACAACACATGAACGTCATCCCGATGCCACCCTGCTTGAGTGCAAAAGCGAGCGAAGGCCTTTGTGTCCATGAGAGTGAGGACGTCATGAATACCTTCGAGAACTTTCCCACTCAGCATCTGAGAGAATCCAGACCTGAACGGTGCCGTTCGACGTGCCTAACTAGGTCAAGGCCGTTGATTTCATTCGATTTACGTGGCTCTTTATTCAACGTTATTCCATGCATCATGTATGACTGCTTCTATTTTTCTGGTGTGTGATGGGCCCCACGCCCAGGCTAGCTCAGCGCGCATACCACTTGCCCAAAGAAGTCTTGCATGTACATGACACTCGGAGTTCCATTCGCAGAGTCGGGACCCTAAGTTCTTACAAACCTGCTGACGAGATTCGAGATCGTCGGCGACAAATCCGGATTGCCTCAGATCTTTCAGCCAGCTAGACTTCGTGGATGAGAAGTAGTAACAGGTGCCACGCTAGTAGTAACAGGTGCCTTACTAGTAG